TAAATGGGACTGAAGCTATTTTTTTTATGCATGCATGCATGCATTTTTTGATTTTTAGGTAATGAACTGGTTTTAAGAGTCTTTAACTTTTTTTTAAAATATATTTTATTGATTTTTTACAGAGAGGAAGGGAGAGGGATAGAGAGTTAGAAACATCAATGAGAGAGAAACATCTATCAGCTGCCTCCTGCACACCCCCCACTGGGGATATGCCCGCAACCAAGGTACATGCCCTTGACTGGAATTGAACCTGGGACCTTTCAGTCCGCAGGCCAACGCTCTATCCACTGAGCCAAACCAGTCAGCGCAAGAGTCTTTAACTTTTATAACTACATAATCTGGTATGTTAGAACATTATTAATAAAGTGAGAATTTATTGAATAAATATAAAGATACATTTTTTTGGAATTAAGTTCAGTTCACATTTTCACATTTCCATCCTCTACTTCTTCTTGAGTTTTAATCACTTTAATGGAAAAAACATTCACTGAATTCTATACAGGTTAGCAAATACACTCTGGACAGTCTTAAAAAAACTTATTTTATCCATGTTCAGTTTCACCTTTACTGAATAACCTACTCAATTTTATCAGAGTCAGTCCATTATTCTAGACTCCTGAGAGCTCTGATACAAGATGATAATGGTTCAAGACATGGCTATGTAGCTTTATGTTGGCCTTAATTGTTCTTGTGTGAATTTCAAAGTGGTAACACAGCTAGGCACACTGTATCACAATGGTGCTCAAACGGGTAAGATTTTGCAGGGAACACTTGGCAATGTATGGAGACATTTCTGAATGTCAACACTGGGAGTGGGGAATGTTAATAGTATTTAGTGGGAAGAGGGATGCTGCTAAATACCCTATAATTCACAGGGCATCTCCTCACAGCAAAGAATTACCCACTCCAAAATGTCAACGGATTGAGAATCTGCTTTAATGGGCCAGTAACTTCTTTAAACACACCTCTCCATTACTTGGAGTTTCCAGTCTAAATGAAATCTAAGTTTCTTCTCAATAATTATATACAATCAATAGCTTGATGCATTAAGGAAATTCTTTCCTTCCAAAAATTCACCAATAATACTTCATATTACATTCATTTTCTCTCACAACTAGCAAAAACCATAAACCATTTAACAAACTTTCTGCTTACTTATAGCAACTGGTAGAAAAATTTAGGTTATTAGTGTTTTAATCACATATTTCATGAACCTAGTAAAATACAACAATATTTGCATACCCTCTCCTTCCTCTATTTTTGGATACTATGCTTTGTTCCTTGTTCTTATTTCTCCTTAACCTTTTCCCCAATTATTTATTTTTAGACCCAATATTAACTCAGCCTCTTCTACCTATTACTATTTTAAGTGCTGCTTCAGCAACTAAAAGCTTTCTTTTAGGCAGTTCATAATGGGAGAATTAAAGTGCAACAGTTCTATATGAATAGTAGTTATAAAGGTTAATTATTTAGCTTTTAATAAAACTTAAATGAAAGCTCACAAAAAATAATCAAGCAAAATTAAGTTTATATGAACAATACTTTATAAATGAACTTATTTTCATTTTATTAACAATAAAAAATGCATAAAATCTTAAAACTTTTATATTAAAGTGAAAAAATACCACCCCTCCAACCCTTTCTTCTCCCAGATGGTATATAACCTAAACACAGTGGTTAAGAACACTGTAACACATTGTTTTTTCCTCTTATGTACTGTCTAGATTTCTATTAAGCACACTTCTTTAATTTCTCATACTTTGTGCTTATCATTGTAATTCTGAATTGTTTCTATCAATTTTTACATGTCAAATCTAGTTAAGCTACCAATGAATACCCGGTTTGTATATTAGACAACTAGGGTTACAATCTTTCTCACCTTGCTATTTCTATTCTCAGTTATCACATTTTTCCAAGTGTCAGGTTACTACTTTACTAAGCAATTTAGCACATACTGAAGTGATGGAGGAGGTGGGGTGGGAACTGACAAGTTAGTTTAGGCAGTATGTTTTCTTTCCTTTCAGAACACAGAATTACAGCAAGTCTTACAAGCATTACATAAATGGATTAGTGAATCAAGCTTTAATAATGAGAAATAAGATCAAAGTAATTTCTAGTTACCTGCTGGCCTTCTATAAGTGTTCATTTCTGCTAACTAGAACTGTTATATAATGCTAGTATCTTAGGTTCAATTCAAGAAACCTATAAAGTGACATTTCATTCGTCTGCAAAATCATGCATTAGTACCACGAGCACCAGTGAAACAGTAAGTCTTCACTAATTCATAATCTTGTAAATAAGAAAAGAGAATAATGTAAAGAAACTAACTTTATTTATGTAATTCAATGTAAACCAGATGTCAGTTCTTAAATTAAAAATTCTCTTGCCGAAACCGGTTTGGCTCAGTGGATAGAGCGTCGGCCTGCGGACTGAAAGGTCCCAGGTTCGATTCCAGTCAAGGGCATGTACCTGGGTTGCGGGCACATCCCCAGTAGGAGATGTGCAGGAGGCAGCTGATTGATGTTTCTCTCTCATCAATGTTTCTAACTCTCTATCTCTCTCCCTTCCTCTCAGTGAAAAATCAATAAAATATATTTTAAAAAAAAAATTCTCTTAGCCTGAAAATTTCTCAAATTCAGTTTTCAGTTTTAGCAATTAAGTCATATTCAAGAAACTTAAATATAACTTCCACATTTTACTCTAATTCTTATTTATAACCACACTTGAATGAAACCAAAGACTATTTCTTTAAAAAGAAGTCAAGCAATTTAAACTCCATTTATTTTAAATTAGCAAAGCTTTTCCTATAGTTATGTAAATAGACAATATGGTTTGAAAGTACTGAGATTACCCCTTTAATTAAAATGTAGGTTCCTTTAACTTCTAGATTCACTAAAAATAGTCACTAACACAAAAGACCCTTTCAAAATACTGAAGCTTAGCAATAGCAATTTTACAATTTCTTCCTATAAAACTAAACTGTGGAGGAAAAGAAATTAATAGTTTTCTGATTAAATTATCTTGAGCTTGGTATAATGCAGCAATTAGCAATCGTTTTCATTTCATGGCACACATAAAACTCATTATTAAAATTCTGTGGCACATCACATATATATTTTTGCTGATCTGACAAAATAAAATAGTTATCAGTGTGATTCATTCACACTGGATGGCTATTGTTGTGTTGGCTATTGTCATTTTTTTATTTGACAATCTAAGGGAAAAGAGCGAGTCAGTACTCCTGACTAAATAGTCACTCTTTGTTTTGTGTTTTTGTTATTAATCCTCACCTGACGATATTTTTCCAGAGAGAGAGAGTGAGTGTGTGTGTGTAGGGAGGTAGGCAGAGGGGGGAAGAGATTTGAAAGACACATTGAAAGAGAATTGTTTGCCTTCCGTATGGCCAGGATGGATCAGGATTGAATCTGCACCCAGGTATGTGTCCTTGACAGGGAATCAAACTTGGGACCCAAACTTGGGAGGGGATGGGGGGTGAAGGCAGGGAGGGATAAAGCTGAGTCTCTAACTACTGAACCACACCAGTTGAAAATTGCTGGCGTAATGTATTATCAAGCTTTGTACTCTAGAGTAGAGCTGCCCAATAGAAATATGTGAGCCATGTATGTAATTTTAAATTTTCTAGTAATTACATTAAGATCATGGAATTTTCATAATTTACAACCCAGTATCAAAAGTATCATTATTGCCGAAACCGGTTTGGCTCAGTGGATAGAGAGTCGACCTGCGGACTGAAGGGTCCCAGGTTCGATTCCGGTCAAGGGCATGTATCTGGGTTGCGGGCACATCCCCAGTGGGGGGTGTGCAGGAGGCAGCTGATCCATGTTTCTCTCTCATCCATGTTTCTGACTATCTCTCTCCCTTCCTCTCTGTAAAAAATCAATAATATATATTTTTTTAAAAGTATCATTATTTCCACATGTGATCAATATTTATTTATGTAATTTTCCCCCATACTAGGTTTCTAAAATCTGGTCGGCTTTCACACTTAAATCACATTTCAATATACTAAAGTGCTCAAAAGCCTCATGTGGCTAGTGGCTTCTGAACTGGACTGTGCAACTCTAGAGACTAGAGCAGAATAGAGCACTATAGACTAAAATGCAATCTTAGAATCTTCTCCACCCCTCATCACAAATTTTCATACACATAACATGTGTTAAGACCTGGCTAATTTTACAAAGCATACCAAAGTAGATATTAAAACCTTTATAATCCATAAGAAAAGATTAAAAATCTGCCTGGTTGTGTGGTTCAGTGGTTGAGCATCAACCTAGGAACCAGAAGGTCATGGTTCAATTCCAGTCAGGGCACATGCCCAGCTGTGGGCTCAATCCCTAATAATGGGCATGTAGGAAGGAGGCAGTGATCAATGATTGTCTCTCATCATTGATATTTCTATCTCCTTCTCCCTTATTCTCTGAAATCAATCAGAACATATTAAGCTGGTTTGGCTCAGTGGATACAGCGTCAGCCTGCAGACTGAAGGGTCCTGGGATCGATTCCCAGTCAAGGGCACATTCTTGGGTTGCAGGCTCGAACCCCAGTTGGGGGCATGCAGGAGGCAGACGATCAATAATTCTCTCTCATCATTGATGTTTCTCTCTCTTTCTCCCTCTTCCTTCCTGTCTGAAATCAAAAATTTTTTTTTTTTTTTAAAAAAACAGCATGTTAAAAATAAATAAGCATGGACAACGTAAAGGCCATTATTGCAGTGAAATTTGAAAATAGCCTCTATTTTGAAAATAGAAAATAGCCTCTTCTTTGAAAAGAAACTCAATCCAAAAATGAAGAAAAGTAAATAACAATCCCTTCTGGAAAGGAATTCTTACTAAATTGATTATTTCAATGATGTTATTCCACACTGCAGTACTAGTACCCAATTTACTAGACAATGAATGTTAAGCTTAAGAAGCCTTAATGTGAACAAATACTTTGTGATGAGAGGTGGTCAATGAAACAATTAGAAGCGTTCATAGTACCTTTGCAAACTTGAAGAATGGTCTTGGATCTTTTCTGAAATATTCAATATCAAACATTGCTTGAGGATCTGGAAGGTCTGGGAAGTCCACTGCAAGACGAGCATAAATACCATCTCTTGACCTGAAGTCAGGTATTCCACAAGAAACAGAAACCTGCAAAATACATGGCATAATTTGTACAATTAAATCTTCTACCTCTAGGTTTATAATTGCTCTTATACAATTAGGAAGTTGAAAAATATTTTAGTTTTAAACTTCTTTTGGAGGACAGAAATACCATCCTATTCCAATTTAAAATAGAAATAAAACACCCCCCAAACAAGTATTACTAAATCCATCACATTCCATTCATAATGGGGTAAGGAATTTTAAGTCAGGCAAATTTTGAATCTTAAAGTATTTAATCAACAAATTAAAGCAGTAGAAATTTGAGAAGTAAATCATTTCGAATTATTCTAACCAGAAAGCAGGGAACAACTTCTATTACAGTCAAGTGTTTCCAAAGAAATCTCTCATCTGGTCAGGGACCGACTACTTCAAGAATGCTGAATTTCTAGCCCTAGCTGGTTTGGCTCAGTGGATAGAACATCAACCTGCAGTCCCCAGTTCAATTCCAGTCAAGAGCAAGTACCTCAGTTGCAGGTTCCACTCGGGAGGCAACCAATCAGTGTTTCTCTGTCTCCCCCCCTCCCATCCACCCTCTCTAAAAATCAATTAAAAAATGTCCAACAAAAAAAACTGAATTTCTGTATTTTCTTTAAAATACTATGTTGTACAATGTTTCAATTATTTTTATTGATTTCAGAGAGAAAGGGAGAGGGAGAGAGAAATAGAAACTTTTTTTTTTTAAATATATATTTTATTGATTTTTTTTTTTTACAGAGAGGAAGGGAGAGAGATAAAGAGTTAGAAACATTGAGGAGAGAGAAATATCGATCAGCTGCCTCCTGCACATCTCCCACTGGGGATGTGCCCGCAACCCAGGTACATGCCCTTGACCGGAATCGAACCTGGGACCTTTCAGTCCGCAGGCCGACGCTCTATCCACTGAGCCAAACCGGTTTCGGCGAGAAATAGAAACTTTAATGATGAGAGAGAATCATTGATCCTGCATGCCCTTTCCTGGGGATCCAGTCCGCAACCTGGGCAAGTGCCCTAACCTGGAATCAACCATGATCTCCTGGTTCATATGTCCACAGTTCAACTACTGAACCAGGCTGGCTGGGCTACAATGTTTCAATTCTTAAGAATAGATTTAGACACTATGCTTTCAAATAGAGATTTGAGTGTTACCTTTTTGTTTCACAATTTTACCAATGTCGATTGCACTTTGACCTCAGAGTTAAGTCAAATTTATCTAAATCATATAGGGAGCAAATCATTACTATTCTTGATCATTTAAGATTAAGAGGCCCAACCGCTTCGCTTAGTGGTTGAGCATCAACCTATGAACCAAGTCATGGTTTGATTCCAGGTCAGGGCACATGCCTGGGTTGTGGGCTTGATCCCCAGTGGGGGGTGTGCAGGAGGCAGCCAATCAATGATTCTCTCTCATCATTGATGTTTCTATCTCTCCCTTTCCTTTCCTCTCTGAAATCAATAAAAATGTATTTAGAAAAGAAAAAAAAAGGACTAAGTGACACCCTCCGTTAACTCAAAATGGCAGAAAGCAGAACTGAATTTTACTCTAGCATTGCTCTGGTCACTAACCAACATATTCTGTATTCAACACAGAAAACACAATACCCTTATGTAGCTAGTTATCTGTGACCCTATAGGGGAGGCAATCGAAAACTGTCGAGCCACCTCAATCACATCACCTTAATTTAAATGGATGGGAGGTAGGAATCTGTTAACTTCCTAACACTAAGTTCTTTACTTGTGAATATGAATTAGGTTCCTGGTTTCCCCATGAAGATGGAACAAAAACCCAGTTTCTCCATCACACCCTGACACACGTCAATGTAAGCAGAATTCTCTTAATCTCCTTTAGGAGTCGTGGTATAATATAGGTAAAAATCTTGCCTTAATTCCACTTACCTACTGTACTAATAAACAGAAACAAATCTTTTTTATGGTTGTTGGAGAGGCTTTTAAAAACAACCAATTTAGCAACTGCTGCTATGCTCAATTTTTAGTAGTTTCCAAACACAAAAAATTGCCCATTATCATGGAAGGATAAATTCTTCTACACCAGAAAAACATTTACTTGGAAAGGCATAAAACATTTACCACCTCCTCCTTTTTTACTCATGTTTTAAACATGTTACATACCCCAGCTCCAGTTAGAACTATTATTTTTTTGCATTCCTTCAGTAATTTCACAGCATCTTCTATTGTATTAATATCTTTTCTTTTTTTCCTTTTTGGTGGTTCTGAAAGGATATTAATAACAATCTGCCACAGTGTCATATCATCCCATTCAGGCGGAGGAATCGTTTCTGGTAGTAAATCTTTAAGAATTGTTCGAGGATCTGTGCCAATCATGAGATGTTGCTGAACAAAAGCATATGGACCTATATTAAGAGGACAAAGAATTACATCAAATTCACATCCAATTAATTTAAAATCTCATTTATTTTCTGAAGTAATGAACTAACAATCTTTAAGATTTTTTTAATAAAGTAATAAAATGCAATATAAAAATATATCATTTTCACAGCATCCTCAGAACGAATGCTATATCCCAATGAAATTAGGGAAATCAAATCAAGAGTTAGGTAAGCCCCTTGAATTATAAAATACAAAATATTTTAAGAGTCAAATTAATTACCAGAGTTAAATTTTGATGGTTAAAATTCAAAAATATACTCCATAATTAGTAACAGGAGCATGTATATACAAAAGGGTTCTACACATCAATATAGGAAAGATCCTACCAATCCCAAAAGCCCATACTATTTACCATTAAAGACATAAGGCAAAGCCTTAGCAAGGCAACTCAGTTTAGTTAGAGCATCACCCCAACACACTAAGGTGGTAGATTCGATCCCCGGTGAGGACATATACAAGAATTAACCAATGAATGCATAAATAAGTGGAAAAACAAGCTGATGTTTCTCTCTGTTTCTCTCTCTCTCTCTTTCTCTCTCTCCCCCCCCTCCACCTTCCATTCTCTCTCTAAAATTAATAATGTTAAAAAAAGACATAAATGAAAAGGAAATTTATATACCTCTCTAAGGAAATCTATACATAACTAACACCTTTTCAATTTTTTTCAGTAATAATATTCAATTTGATCTTAACCAATCTCTGAAAATGATACATAGAATGCTGATACGTTTTAAGCACTGACTTTTTTTTTACTCTGACATTTCTTAAGTCAGTTTTCTAGCTTGAGAAAACCAAAAAGACAGTAATACTATGGACACTAAGGAACTAATCATCACTGAATTTAAATAGTCAAGAATGAAGGCACATTAAGAAAAATACCATTTCTGCCCTAACCGGTTTGGCTCAGTGGATAGAGCATCGGCCTTGTGGACTCAAGGGTCCCAGGTTCGATTCCGGTCAAGGGCATGTACCTGGGTTGCGGGCACATCCCCAGTAGGGGGTATGCAAGAGGCAGCTGAATCGATGTTTCTAACTCTGTATCCCTCTTCCTCTCCCTTCCTCTCTGTAAAAAATCAATAAAATATATTTTTTTAAAAAGAAAAGTATCATTTTCGAGATGGTCATGTTAGAACTTTAGTATAAATATCTAATAGTGTTCTCTACTGCTAACGTAGGTTTCCAGTTGTGAGTACTCAAAAGTTTATTCTTATGTTATTATTAATTATTGTATTATTTACTTGTATCACAACTATAAAGCTACTTTTGCCCACCCCTGTACTTTCCCATTTCATCAACATAGTTAAAGATTTACTGAGCACAAATTATGTGCCAGACACTTTTCTAGGAACTGACAAAATAGCATACAAATCAGTTAAAAAAAAAAAACCCTGTCCCCAATAGGGCTTATATTCTAGTATTAGAAACCCAATAAAAAAGTTAAGATTCAGCCTGGCCTGTGTGGTTCAGTTGTTGAGCATCAACCTATAAACCAGGAGGTCACAGTTCGATTCCCAGTCAGGGCACATGCCCCAGCTTCAGGCTCAATCCCCAGTGGGGGGACGTGCAGGAGAAAGCAGATCGATATTTCTCTCTTTCTAAAAGCAATACAACATCTTTTTTTAAAAAGTGGTATGCTAAAAGAAAAGGAAGAACAAATAGGAAGGAAGAGCATTACACAGAGAAAACGTGAAAAGGACCCAAGGACCTGAGGTGTGAGAAGGACCTGTTTGTTTGATAAATACTAGAGGCCAACTTCCATGGGCGTGAGCTGTTTAAAAAGAAAAACAGAAGCACTAGACTTTCCCTAGAAACATAAATCTTAGCAAGCACCTAAGGAACCTCATCACCAGGTTATAAGGAGGCAGATAATTATATTTTTAGTTAGCATAAAACAAAAATACAAAGAAAAAGACAACATTTACTCTCTAAAAGCTGTGAAACCATACCTATCCGTGGCCTTGGAGTCCAGTCACTAGAGCTTGCATGTGAGGCTCTATCATCCTCATCACTTTCACAGGAATGAAAACCATTGGTAATTATTTCATCACCAAACAGAAGGTTATCTGCAAAAGAAACCAAAAGCAACTCAAGTCTGCTGAACAATCTGCATCTAAAATGTATGGAGATCGGGGCCCTGGCCGGGTAGCTCAGTTGGTTAGATATGCCAAGGTTGTGGGTTCAATCCTGGGTCAGGGAGCATACAAGAATCAACCAATGAATGCATAACTAAGTGGAACAACAAATCCATGTTTCTCTCACCCCACCCTTCCTCTCTCTCAAAACAATTTTTTAAAAAATGGCCCTGGCCAGTGTCTCAGTACTTAGAACTTCAGCCCACATAACAAAGGTTGTGGGTTCAAGTCTCGGTCAAGGGCACGTGCCTGTGTTGCAGGTTCAGATCCTCAAGCTTTGTGCTGGAGACAGCCAACTGATGAGTCTCTCTCATGTAGGTATCTCCCAACCCCCCCCCCCTTCCTTCTTTCTCTAGGGGGGAAAAAATCAATGGGAAAAATATCCTAGGGTGAGGATTAACAAAAATAAAATAAAATAGCATGAAGATCTGTAATGGTTATGATGTAATGATTTTCACTGAATAAAACACATTCAATTCCCAGTCAGGGCATATACCCAGGTTTCAGGTTTGGCAACCCATCAATGTTTCTCTCCCTTCTTCCCTCCCTCCCTTTCTCTCTCTCTCCCTCTCTCTCTCAACGAAGTCAATAAAAACGTATTTAAAAGAATGCCTCCTGGGTCATCTTGCCTGGTTAGTTCATAGGAACAGTATTTTCTCCTTAAGGGATTCTAACCTCAATCTAAAAGTCTCAGTTCATCGAAAATCTAGATATAAGTCAAGTCTACTAAATCCAAACACAGAAAGGAGTCATCTAGTTAGACTGAACTTACCAACTACAAACAATGGAGCTCGTGAAATCTGTCCACTAAAAATTCACCGACAAAAGTGCCAATGAAACTATACGGCAACTTGCAACTTCTTTAAACATGCACAGACGGCTCTGCCTTAGTCCGTTTCCCCTATTACACTGTGGCCTGAAATGAGCGGTCTAATGCCCAATCCAGTCCCTAAGGCACAGGCCATCTTCACAGCCAGCCAGTGAGCCCACCGACTCCATTCACTGACGCCGATACAGATGGAGAGGAACCTCCACCCGGGACAGAAAACTCCTCGGATCGGAAACACGCAACTTCGAGGGAGACGGGACACACACAACCAACACAGCAGACTTATTTAGCATGCCAGAAAAAAATGTCAATTCGCGTTTCGGGGTTGTATTTACACACAGGCAAGGGTGAGAACTAAACTGAAAACTACTCGAACATCGGAGGAGAAACACTGGTGGCGGCCAGGGCTCTGCAAGCGCCGCTGCTCCCCGCTGCCCGCCGCCAGCTGCGCCCCGGGACGGGCTTCGGGAACAGCTGCGCTCTCGGCAATGTGCAGGGTATGGGTTTTTAGAATGTAGCTTTGCTCTTTAAAATGCAAGACAAATGTAAAAACTAAGACCCCCCCCCCCAAAAAAAAAGCCACGAATTGCACCGGTATGCAAAGACAACTGCAAAAAGATGGGCAAAAGTTGCAGGTTTGAGTGTGCTGGGGGCGGGGGGAGGAGGGGGGCTGCACCGTTTAACGAAAGCGCCGCATCCTGAACGGGTGGGAGGCGAGAGAAACTTATTTCAAAACCGACAG